CCCCCCCCCCCCCCCCCCGCCCCCGGGTTCCACATTTACAGACTCTGGAGATGCCGGCGGACGTGTTAGCCGTGACCTTCCGGCCCGACGGTAGGCAACTATGCTGTGCGTGTCTCAACGGTACCTTGCAGCTCTGGGGCACCGATGGAGGGGACCTGCAGGGAATCATCGAGGGACGTCAGGATATTGCCGGTGGGTGGCGTTGTCGCTGCTGCTGCTGCTGCTGCAAAGTCTTCATTAAACACATGCCCTTCGCCTGCTGTGTTACTAAGTACAATATCCCGAACAAGTAGTCTCGCGGCGATTGTACGTGCATGTTGTGAAAAATAATATGTCGTCGTCGCCGTGTTTTGCGTTAGGGTGGCCCCCTCTGTTGCTCATGCCCTGCACACCCTAGTGCCGTATTCTACAGCACATGATATCGCACCCGAGTGAGTTGTCACCCGCCCCTTCCACAATACCACGCCCGGTGGCAAATATTTCAACGGGTCGGTGTAAGAGCCCAGAATATTCAAACTATTCTCAGATCAAGTACAAAGAACGGCATTGTAAGATACCGCCGACGGGGGGGTTCTTGTGTCGTATGTACATGACGTTTGTGTAGAGGACCACATTTAGTTAATAATTTGCACGCACACTTTTTGTTTACCGCTCGCCCTTCCTCTCTCTCTCGCTCGCTCTCTCTGTCTCTGTCTGTCTCTGTCTCTTATAACAGGAGGAAGACGCGCGCACGACATGGTGACCGCGGCCAACTCGAACCACGGCAAGTACTTTACTAGCGTCGACTACACCGCGGACGGTACTTGCGTGGTGGCAGCCGGACAGAGCAAGTTCGTCTGCATCTACGAGTGCTCGCAGCAGATCTTGGTCAAGAAGTTTCAGGTAGGTGGTTGTTGGAAAGTCCGCCGCCTGGTTGCCGGCGAACAAGGAAGAGGTTTTTCGATGGCGGCGTGCATGTGACATTTTTTTCACAATGCTCCCAAAATGTTTACAATTTTGTTTGTTTGTTTGGTTCTGGTGTCCACGAGCGCTCGTAGCAGGTTCTTCTCTCTGTTGGATTGTTCCGGGTCAGGTTGATGTTGTTTAGGTAGATACCGCATGAACAGATGCTCCAAGCGAGGAATACGCGATCTGATGAGCACGATCCTTCCCCCCCCTTCCACCACGTACTATAATAGAAGAACACATCTTGACGGGATGCGTGATGATTGATCAAGTGGCTATTGACAGGAGCTGCATCAACATGCGATCCCCCCACCCCCCCTCAACGGGGTGTCTGTAAACGGCACAAGATCGAAAACGACGACGAAGAGACCTCCCCCCAACCCAATCAACCCCATGGCATACCTTGTTTGGCACAGCACACTCAAGGATGATGACCAGCTATTCTTGCGAAACGTGGTAGCCTACACCACCGAAAGCCCGGCATATCGCTCATCCCAGCATTGTAGGGATGCAGCACTGTAGGGATGCGGGGGCTATGGTCTACCGGCTACGGCTTGCGTTTACATTAGTACCCCCCCCTTCCCCCCTGGTGTTTGCCATCGGGTTGGGTTTTCGTCGCTTGGCAACAACGTTGTAAAACCAGCCCCCCCTCGGTGTTTGCCATCGGGATTGGGTTTTCGTCACTTGGCAACGACGTTGTAAAACAAGCCCCCCCTCGGTGTTTGCCATCGGGATTGGGTTTTCGTCGCTTGGCAACGACGTTGTAAAACAAGCC